CACGCGAATGTGAGACCTTACCCACGGGAAGTCTGTGTTTTGTGTGTGACCTCTATTCCCACAGTGAAACTGCCCATGGGAAATCGCTATGGATACATCAAAAAGAACAAAAGAATTACCCATGACGTTTCCCGAACCAAGTCGTAGGGTTTAGCAGTGGTTTATCTAACCACAAGAGTAGTTCAACCAGTCGGATGGAAGAAAATAGTAAATCCGGAAACCGCAGCACATGCTGGGCATTTTTGTGGTGTTGCGCTGAAATCGCGGCAAATATCCTCGCAAGTATCAAATTCAAGACACGCGGCATCAAACATGGCCAACTTTCGAGGTTCACATTAAGTATATTTTACTCGTCTTTGCTCTGAATACTCCAATAAAAGCCATAACTTTCGCGGTTTGCGATCTCCATGATGAATTTATTTCCCGCCAAACACTGCTAGGTCAAAAGTTGACCTCGGGTAATTATTTGCAATGTAACCGGAGGATTAAACCTGACCGGAAACCCAAACCCATCCCAACCCAAGGTTATTACCCACTGGGTTACCTCGGGAAGGAGGGGAGTGTAACCACAGCTGCAGCTTTTGCGCGAATTGATTGGATTGTGCTGCTTGATGAAAAGCAGATAATAAACAAGGAAGTCAAAATTTCCTTGGCACTTTTTTAGAATGCGGAATTGGCTTTCTATGAGGACGTTTGTATCCCCGTGGGCTGTCGAAAAGTGTTTACCGATCGGAGTTTTTAGGGGAGGTGGCTAGCTGTAAAGCCGACCTAATCTGAATCGTACACATCACATTTAAAAGAGTAAACAACGCATTGTTGATTTACGATTGGAAGCTTGATTTCTCTGAGCTCGAGGCCTTGTTCCAATTCTCTGCTGATAAACACGGGTTGTAGTGTAGTGCCAATCTCGTGACTGAGATCACGCATTTGACTTGGCACGAGAGAGAAAAACAAGGAAGACAGCAGCGTTGTGCGAGTGAGTTGGTGCTTTAAAGATCAAACAGCTGACACAGTTAAAAGGCAAATGCGTGATCTCAGTCAATGGAAAATTTGACTGTCTCTTCTACAAGATGCTTTTCATCAAGCAGCACAATCCTAACCTCAACATGCAGACTGATTCCATTCGCGCAAAACTCTTTGTTTTAAAAGAACATTCCATCACCTATCGTCTTTTAGCATTTAAACATTTGTTATCTTTCACTCTGTGACTTGATAATGACGTCAGCCAAACGCCGTCAACAAATTTTTAAAATGCTTTTACGAAATGTTTTATCGCAATTTTTTTATCGTTAAATGTTATGATTCTTCGCTGAAAATCGTTAATAACTTTGTTTTCGCACGCGCCCAAAAATTATGAGTAGTTTCAGCTAACCTAGGGTTTAGAAGGGTTTTTCTCCAATATGGCCCCTTAAAGACGCCCCTCAATACAAACACTCCGTCTGTAAATATTTTAATCACAAAATTGAGACAAAATTTACTAAGTTTTGCCTCCGGTACCTCTTTAACCGTACAAAGTCACACCTTTCAAACGCACGAAATCATGGCGTATATAAAAGTTATGAGCGCTTGAATGTTGAGAGTTTGTGTGCTTTTCTCAAGACATATGGCTCCAATACTGAGAAAAAGGTGAATGTTAAAAAAAAAAAGTGGACTTGCTTCAAGTTCAAATAATTTTATTTTTACAAGCTCCAGGTCACAATTTTTTTTTAATGAACTGTGGTTTACTTTTTTAATTAAAAAATGCGCTAAATAGTTGTGTTATCATCTCTCTTTCCAACTCTACTTAGAATTGCATATTTCCGAATTACCTTTAGATTCTTTTTCAAAACGAATCCTGGTGCTCATCCTTTCATATGATTTTAATTTTTCATTCACATGCAAATTAAACTCACTTTCATACGAATGAGCACCAGGCCTCGTTTTAAAAAAGATGCCAAAGGTAATTCGGAAATGGTCTGTTAAGGGGAGGAGCGATGGGTGGGATTTCAATATAAAAGCTACTGAGATTTCACTAAAGCATTTCATTACTAGCCATTCTTGAATATTTTTACTACGTAACATTCTGACAAATTATACTTTATGCAGTCACATATTTCTAAAATTACAAAAAAAAACAAACAAAAACAAAACAAAAACAAACAGTGGGACTGAAGGAGAAATATCGCGAACATTATGAATGCATGCGTGGTATTTTTCATTCCGACAAAAAGGGCGGAATCGTTTCATTTTCTCTGTACAATTTCATAATCTAACTACCTGGAAACGTCGTCTGAATGCATAAAGACTAAAAAGGAATTACGTGAGAGAAGGTTGTTCGAAACATTTTGATTGTCATGCAACAAGTCTCAAACCTTGCGTGACGACCCAATCTTTCGAAAGAGAACAGAACAACTGTTTCTAAAAACTGTTGTAAGGTAACTAACTATTTCTGGAAACGATGGTCACGTAACGGTTATCAAGCCTTGCGTGACGACCCAGTCATTCAAAAGAGAACAGAACAACTGTTTCTAAAAGCAGTTGTAACTATTTACTGCTCTATTTACAAATAATTAACTAGTAAAAGTGACCGTTCTTCTCGGACCAAATGTTCTTCCATCGCGTCTGTGATGCTCACCACGAACTGAATGTTGATTAGTAACGACACTCAATGTAGAACCTAACATCAGTTGAAAATCAGAGCATTCGTTTCCCGGAAGTTGAAACACTACTGTGGTAACTGTTGCGCGCCCATCTTCAGTATTCTCTTGACAAACAGGGGATATAACAGGTCGGTCTTTTACGTCCCTGAGCCGCAAATGGTTGTCTTTGACCGATGAGCTGTCACGCAATATGAGAGTAGCAATGTCACGTTTGACCCGCCATAGGCTTGGCTGCGGCTTTTTCATTTGACAGAGAAACGAGTAGGTCGCAAATGGCCGGCTTCGCATTGTTTCCAGCTGATGCTCTCGCACTTCGATAACTCTTCTTCGTGTATGATACTGTTTGATCTTCCAGCCGAATACACTGACAGAAACAACGAGAAAAAATGCGGAGAAAAATACAGAAAAAAACACGAACAAATCAATCTGAGACAAGTCCTGCCGGAAGTAAACCTGGCCTCTGGTCCCAGACCTATCACGGCCAACAAATACCATGTAGAATCTTGTGTCACGCAGGTAGTGTGACAAGTGAGGGAATGTCAGCACAAGGCGTTTCCTAACATCTCGAATCACAAGCGCATTGTGATTCTCTTGGTAAGAAACGAAAGTATTTAGTCGAGTATTTGATGCTACCACTACGGCTACCTTGTCATTACTACTGTAACTATCAACTCCATCTTCTTCTGATGCTCGCCTCTTTCGTCTGAGGATATAAAACGAAAGAGAAAATAGCGGTCAATAAACCCGAGTTTGGGGGGGGGGGGGTTGAGGGAGGGAGAGTACCGTCTGGGTATGTGCCGCTGGCCTCTCAGAACGCCGGGCACATCATAGTCTATTCTGTGGCAAATAATAATAGACCCCATCTTGGTCATGTTTGGTAATAAGGTTACAAATTTCCCATTTCTAAATCCTGCTTACCAGAACTTTCTTATCCCGAAAAATCTCGAAGCGACCCCATTCTGCTAATGAAAATGCGACCCCAGAGGAGTCAACCCAATGGTGAAAATGCCATCCCAGCCAGCGGCACATCCCCATTAGCCTATTAAAAGGAAGAACCCCCCTCCCCTCTAGTCATAAAAACCGCGTACACGAGCCATTACCGTGAGGTTTTTCCGTAAACTTAATTTTTTTCTAGTGCAAGAGAACCTTTAGTTTTACGAGAAAAAGTACCTTGGTAAAAATCTTAATCTAAAATAAAAAAGTCCTATTTAGAATAAATTTCTATTTACTACAACTACACTCTGTTAGGATCTAAATCCCTGTGTTCTCAAAAACCAAGAGTCGGGTTCACACATTTCAACTTTAGAATTCTTCAACTGGAACATCCCATGATCCCTTCCAACCTTGTTGTGTTACATATCTTAAAATCTTCTTAAAGCCCTTGCAGTAATGTTTTAGATGATTCCATCACCCTCTGGTTTCCATGCAAAAACTGATTTAATCAAACAAAGCCCCATTTATTTATGTCGGAGCTTTCGTCCATCAGCAACCCGTGACATCAAAGTTGCTGTGGTTCTCGTTTTCCACGACCTAGATAGACTGAATCGAGTGTACGAGGTCGAGGCTTACTCTTAAATTCATCAGAAAATAAAGAAAAGAGCAAACAAACTTTTAGGTGGTTTGACTTTTTTCATTTCTTGTTAAAAGGTCCCATCACAGACACTCTCTTAGGTGTACTAAACCCAGTTTTTGTATGGTTTTCTGAAGTAATTAAGCAGTACAGCGTATTGTTTTATAGGGGTATAAAAGAAAATGACTTCCAACCTCAAATGCTTTGATTGTTAAACTAAATCTTCTAGCTAAATAAAATAACAAAAGTTGCCTGCTACCCACCTTGACGAGGCAACTGACTTGACATTCACTCTATGATGTCCAGAGGTTTCGTTAAGAGTCACTGTGAATTCGTTGTTTTCATCTGCGACGAAAACATCGACTGAGCCCTCGAACACGTCAATCGTCAAGCGGATATCCACGTTGGTAAACCTGGGGTATATAGCGTAAAAAATAGCTTGGCCATATGGTAACGGTTCCACTGTATTTTGGCTGGTCTCTGAAGTTTTTTTACCAATCACAAACTCCTTCATGACGCTGATTTTTCTGTAGCACTGCTGATTGTCGACTGGGTTGCCCATAAAGGTTTCCTTACATTTCACGCACTGTGGAACGAAATAGTTTCTTGTCAGTTTAACCCTCAAACGGCCGTGAGTGACCAAGATAGAATTTCTCCTTACCACATCAATACAATATCAAGCAGACAGGTGAAGAGAAAAGAGAAAAATATCAATTAGGGGATCATAATTTGATTCAATACTAAATTCTCAGAGCTTTCAAAATTAGGAATGTATGGCAGGCGGTACGGAGAATTACTTACGAAATCTTAAAAGAAAAATTTGACGTACGGTAACCCAATCTAAATTATAATATGTGTCGGTAGGGTTCTTATGTACTACGTTCCAAACTTTTTTCAAAATCATTTTTTTTATTTTTCAGAGTAACAGTCCTTAGTCAGGTCACATAACTTGAACAGCAAAGCGACTTTCGAGGGTTTGCTCCAAAATTTCCAAATAAAGCGTAAAAATAGGCGTAAGTCACCTATCCCACAAAGTTCTCACAGACCAATCAAACACTTTTTTACTCTTTAGAAACGACTTCACAACCCTTCCAATGTTATCAAAACCCCGTCTTTCTTTTCCAATCCTCCTCTAGGTCTTATAATTAGATTAGAGTTCTTATATCTTCTTAATAATTCAAGAATCTAAACTGAACGCTGAGTTATAAGTTATATTATGCTAAATGATAAGTAATTGCATCCTAATTGGCTCACAAAGAGGTAAGGCCATTGCGTAACTAAGCGTATGGAAAAGAGGCGCGTGACCATTTAGTTTCGTGATGTAAACTTCCAGTGTAAAACCAACCTTACTATTGCCTATAACCCCAAAAATGTTTTTTAGCCACATCAAATCTCTCTATTGCACTGAGCTAAGTGTGGCAAAAATTTTTGTATTTGGTTAAAACCGCGATTTTTTTTATAAGTTTTCAAAGTAGTGGAAAATCACATTTTTTCAAAACACGACTGAGGCACGGAATTATCAAGATGGGTCTGGGTCGAGCAGAGTTTGTGACGTCATTCCAGGCTTTCCAATGAGTTTGCTTCAAGGACTGGATGAAGTATCTTGACGGATATGCCTGATAAGTGCGTTGTTTTCGGGTGTAGCAACACTCCCAACAAAGAAAAAAGAGTAGCACTTCATCCGATACCTTTCTATGGGCAGATGACCCGAGAAAAAAACAGAGAAGAAAAAAGTGGGTTGACTTTGTGCAATTGAAGCGTGAATATTGGAAGCCCACAAAATACTCGGCCGTGTGTTCCAACCACTTTCGAGAAGAAGACTATTCAGTCATGTTTTCTGCTCTGACTGGCGAGACCATGCAAGGAAGATTGCGAAAAGATGGAGTTGGAATTTGCGTCTTTCCGACTGTTCACGCGTGGAATGTTGAGGAAAACGAAATCAGCTGAAAGCGAGCGACGTAAGAGAAAGGTGAGAAAAATTTACCAGATCAGGCTTTAGCGAAGGTTTCATCTCGTTGGGAACGTATAGGCGGATTCGTGCTGACGTCATTGTTTTTGCGGCATTTTGCTCAGTGCAATAGAGAGATTTAATATGGCTAAAAAATTTTTAAAACCAAAACCAACCTTTACAATTACCGAATTTTGCACAAAAAATGCCTTTCAGGGATGTGTGTGACTACGTTTAGGAGTGTTGTCACTTTTAAGAGTGTGTTGTTCCGGTGATTCCCATACAATTAATTTTTTTCAGTTCGTTAAAGGAAAATTTGCAATTTTATTTTTTTTTTAGCCCTTGTTAAGGCAAAAGGTTGACTCTAATATTCTTCGCTCTGAAGAAGGGCTAACACTCGAAAACTCAGCTTTGAGAGCCTTTTACGGTGCCCAATTTAAATTATCAACACATTGTGGACAAAACCAAATTGTCTCGTTATACCACACACCGACGCAACATCACACTTTCTTCAAATACTTACTCCCTTTAATCTAATGAAAATAGCCTTGTCTAATACACACATGAAAATGAAAAAAAAAAAGAAAAAAAGAAAAAAAAAAAACCTATAAAGAGAAAAAGAAAGTATATAAAAAACTTGCCTGATTTTTGTAACAATCCTCTGCATTTTGACAGTCTTCCATTGTATTGTTGCTACAAGAACATTTCCCGTCAACATGACAAGAATCTGCATGTCCGTTACACAAACATCTGAGGTAAAAAACAAACAAACAACTCAAACAAATTAAGTAACAGATTTACAGAAATACCATGTTTATTATTTCACTGTTGTACCTTGTTTCGTTTGACTTACATCGCGACATAAAGAATAAACACTGATAGCCGACAGATCCTGGATTTTGAATTCCCAGTTGTGATTCATGCTACAACAAAATGTAGTATAGACACTCTACAAAGATTCGACAGAAAACGCTTCATCACTCGATCAGTATTCTGCGGCCTATTTAAGAACTTCCCCGGATGTGATACACGATCTGTGAAATGAAGAAAAAATTAAAAGCTTCGCTCCAAGAAATATTGCGTGAGCCTCAACGAGATCTTTTAAAGATTCGTCATAGGCGAACGACCTTTTTCGCTTTGTTCATCGTTCTTTTGTTTTACATCACCAGATCTGTATAAAGAACCAAAACAATGGGGAACAAAGAAAGCTTTAAAATTCACGAAATCGTTAAAATACTTTTTCGCTCTTAAAGATTAACACAAAAGTACTTTTGAACAGAAAGAGTTCTCGCAACAGCTCTTACCAAATAATAACATTTTAAATTGCTTTGTCGATCAAAAACCGTGATTCCCCATTCAAAAACAAGAGTCCCCTTTGTCGCCAAATTTGCAAATACGTTCTAACAGTTTAAGAGGAAATTAATAATAATAATAACGACAATGAAAATAATGAAAAATTCAGTGGTGTTCAGTTACTTGTGATTTCCTGTCACGCAGCAGAAATGGAGAGCTCAGATTCTACTCTCTACAATCATCACTTAATTTTAAAAATCTTCAGTCAGCGTTCGTTCTGACCAACACAAGAGTGACATTTACGTCCTGTTCTTTACTAGTTTTTTTCTAAAGCGTGTAGCGAGATAACCACAACAACTTGTTCCCAGTCTACGACATTTTTTCAGCCGATACTGCGATTTTCTCTAACGGTCAATGTGTGCCGCGTCGGACTTTTGGAAGGGATGTGAAAAGTAGCAAAATGTAAACCACGCTTCGACTCGCTCCGATCACGATTCCGATCGATTGACAAAGTTCCCTTACAGCTCATGTATATTTTTTTCTTTTACAATATTATTCTAAAACATACAAACCCACTTAGTCCTATTAGCATGCATAAATTCTGGTAGCTCCATTTTAACACAGATGTCGAGACAACACAAACCTAACACAGTCGCCTTTACGGTTGAAGAACCCAGTGACACACAAATCACAACGAAGGCCTTCGCTGTTGTTTTGACATAAGCATTCTTCGTCGTATTCAATCTTGTACGGACCATGATCAAGCCACTCCTTCACCTGTTTTTGGTCAAATTTGGGAAGTCAAGTTAAATCAGCACAATCACATGCACTGTGACGTTGGTGCAACATCATCACCCCTTACACGGGTTGAACATTTTGTTTCGCCTATCTCATCACCGACCAGTTTTCCCAGCTAATTGCATGTTTTCCCGCGCTTAGTGCCGCTCACACGCTTACCGCGCTTCATCCGCCATTGGCAAGTTTTCCTGCAGCCTGCACGCGAGCCTTCATCATCACTGCTTCTGCTCGAGCGTTCTTTCGCCTACGGGAAAAATATGAGGCCTTGGCAACGCGAGAGGTCTGCAATGGGTCTAGCAGTGCCAGGCCCCCAGCAAACCTCTCCCTGACTCGTCTTAAATCTTGCCGCGGGCGGAGAAATGTGCATCCGGCGGCGTTTATAGTGAGGACTTGCTTAAGGACCTGACCCGTTCACAAGGTTTTCCGCGCACTGTTCCGCCTTCAGTTGACTGCTTTTCATTGGTTTATAAGAAGAACAAAATGTTATATATTCTGTTTACACCACATGAATTTAACTGCAATTGTCCAAGTACCTTTGATTCATTAAAAGACCAAGATAAATTCCGGCCGTGCTCCAGGTCGGTTTTGCTCATACACACATGTGCTCGGTGGTTACACGCGTCATAGCACGATACACAGCTGCCGTTGTTTCTTGCATCTCCCACGTAAAGAGGTTTACAGAACTCACAGCTTTGACCCTGGATAAATTAAACAAAGTAGTTTCGCAAACCTTCCGCAGCAGTTGTTGTAACAGCTGCATCTGCCGTTATGAGAGAAGTTCTCAAATCTGCACTCTCGAAGAGCACTTCTTGAAGAGACCCTACCACTGCGATGATTCAGCGAAAGCTAAGACAGTGATTAAAGTTAATCTAGCAAATCGTGTCACGATTCCTAAGGTTCTGCGTGACAAACAAGTAACCCACAATTATCATTGCGCAAATGCTTATCATATCGACTTTCCCATCCTAGCATTATGCATGAAGTCTGTCATGATGGATCTGGTTAAAAGGCCTAGCCTACCATGGGTCTCCTACAGCTCATTGGTAGAATTTTCGAAGTACTAATCGGAAGACCGTAGGTTCGGCTCCTATTGAAAGCACTCAGAGTCCTTCTTCACAAGTATGCCTGCGCCATCATTGAATCACATCATCTTTCGATAATCTTTTGTTTGTCACTGAATGAAAACGAGCTACCATAATATTTGTTGAAAATCTAAAACGACGATTAGATAATAATATTAAGGGCGTCGCGCAACGACTATCGCGGTAGAAATATTGCGAAATGAGGGAGACAGTGCCATACCACTTAGAAGAGTTGCGTGACTACTGAAAACAACTTACCGTTGTGTGGTTCTGACAGCTGTGACAGACATCCAGATGTGTCTCATTCGCACACTGTCCGTGCTCATTACACAAGCATTTGACAGAGCAGTCAATAGAAGTCCAACCAAAGTTACATTCGCACTTATCGGGCTTGGCACAACGGCCTTGAAGGCAGCCTTGAGAACAAACTGGAAGACAAGTCCTGGAAAGAAACCAACACCAATTCTAGAGTAATCCATGACTAGTCTTAACACAGTCACATGCACCACTTTAACCAATCAGAGGCAAAACCAAATCAATCGTGATCTTTTCACACGTTTCAGTTCTCCCCCCAGGTGGAGAAGGGGGGGAGTAATGGGCTTAGAGTGATGTACTGCTGGATAGGGTCGCATTTTCGCGACCGGATTGACTATACTGGGGTTGTATTTTCAGTAGTTACTAGAATGGGATCGCACATTTTCGGGATTTTGGGGGGTAAGGAAACTCTGGAAAGTAGGGATTAGAAAATGGGAACCTATTTGTTCAACTTCGTTCCAACCAGCACTACAATTTTCACACACAATTTAATGATGACCTATTTTAAAAGGCTGTTTAGGGAAGATGCACAAACAGAAAAGTGACTAAGTTGGGATCGCAAAAATTACATTTGTCCACAAGTGACTGAGACGGAATCCATTTTTGGCCACAGAATAGGCTATGGTAGGGTAGGGGTTCCATGAGGCCAGCGGCACTGGACCCAAGTAACCCCCCACCCCCCGCTGGGAGATTTTCCCGCGAAATCTCTAAAGTTACGTGTGACTCTCACTTACCCAGGGTTCCCTGTGTCGTTGTAACCCGCTTTACAAACACACTTGAACTCCTCTGGTAGGTCCACGCAGTCCTGTGTAGTCCTGTCACAAGTGTGTCGTTCATTGAGGCACTCATTTTCCAATGGACACAAAGTGGAGGCCCATACTTGTGACACGTAATTGGAAGCGTTTCTTCCTGGGCAACTACTGCGCAGAGGACCTTCAAAGGCGGATAGCGAGGAAAAATAAGAGATTAGAGATAAGGAGAGTCGGTTACGAGTTCCACATTTTCAAAAAGTGAAATAGTCGCCCCGCACGAACCAGCATTATTTCGGCAGGAAAACTGCAATAGTTGTCCACATCATGGGACAAGTATTTGTGAGATTTACGTGGTGGCAAAAGCAAGACACCACATTTGCAGACATTAGCAGTCTTCTCAATCATTCAACCAGGGATGGACTCAATTTTGTTTGATAACAATAATTGTGCAACTTCACAGCTTAAAAAGAGTGCTATGAAGCTTCACAAGGTATACACATATTCTTGGCTTTTCTCTCAAAGATTTCACTTCAACAATCGCACTTAAAGTCAAACTTGCTCCCAGGCGCAAAGTTCTCTGCGACAAGAAAATCAAGGTTCGTTCCTTTCTCTAAGTTGCTGTTCGCTTCAATCGAGTAAATTTCTGACTGTCATTTTTGTCGAGCTTTGTGATTTCCTCAGACACAACTAATAAAGAATTTTTTGTCGTAACTTTTTTAAGTTTCTGGTCTCTGTAAGATTCAAACGGGCGTGACCTGTCAGGTAAGTGCGTTACTCTTGATTTAAATTTTAACTCTTAATCTTCATGTGACTCGTTTGATTACACTTTTAAGTTCTTGTTTTTCCATCCATAATGTATTCAATGTTGGCCTTTGTTACGGCAAGTTCTTTTTCTAAATCATCGGTTATTTCACTCGGCCCGTTCACGTCAATAGGAGGAAATATTTGTACGTCGTTAGTCCTTTTTTCGTTTTCATTTTGTTTGTCAATTTTCTTAGATCTATTCCAATTATAGCCGTAATTTTTCCTTTTAGCCGAACCATCACTTTCATCATTTTCATGATCACCTTCTACACAATCAGATGCGTTCGATTTACTCTTTGACCGTGAACGAGGAATGAATTTTCTCTTTTAACTCTTCTCTCGGCTGGAGTCTACAGTCTCTTTATATTTAAAAAAAGTGTTTTCAGTAAAGTGGCGATCTCTTTTATTGATCCTTCACACCCTAACGGTCGTGATCATATACATACATACATACGTACGTACGTACGTACGTACATACATACGTACGTACGTACATACATACGTACGTACGTACGTACGTACATACGTACGTACATACATACATACGTACGTATATACATACATACATACGTACGTACGTACATACATACATACGTACGTATATACATACATACATACGTACGTACGTACATACATGCATACATACATACATACGTACATACGTGCATACGTACGTACGTACGTACATACATAAATACGTACGTACGTACATACATACATTCGTTAACTGACCACTCCCAATAGGGGCTTTTCAGGGCCAACACCCACCCATCCCACGCAGGGGAGGACATCCACCACACAGTAACCTCGTGCGTGGGAAATTAACGTCTCCTACCCCTAACCCTGCAGGAGACGGGGCCTACGGTTTATTCGTCCTTATCCGAGAAAACTTCAGACCATTCTCTTTACATTTCTTATGTACTACGAAGAGTGCCTGAAAATTAGTATTTAGAAATTTCTCGAATGCTTAGACATGCTGACTTGCAAGCATAAACTTCCTATGGAAATTTCTAGAACTTTTTGTTAGGCTTTGTTGTTACGATGTAATAGTATCAAGATAGTTCTATTGTAAGCCTCTGGAATATTCCGGAATATTTCGTAAATGTATGTAAGGACTTGGTCGTAGTAGTTGTTAGTTGCTGTGGTTGGGATTGATCGACTGTTTGGAAAATTATACCAAGAGAGAGAACTGTTGTCTATGATTGATAATTACAAGGAACTTTGGAGAAAACTGTAAGTTTGCGAAGTATTGAACTAAGATATAGTTTGCAGAGGGCTTAAGTAAATTACTGAGAATAGTTCTTGTATTGTCAGTTGGAGTCGCTCCAAAGTAAGAATATTACACGTCATTTAATAAAGGAGTTAATTTTGTAGGATTATATTGCTTTATCTGCCGGTTGAATAATACAGCTGCCTGGCTCCGCTATCCCCTACGGTTATTCCAGACAGCCAGTACTCTTATTTATTTTCAATAATGTTTTTTAACTTGACACAGGTAAGGGAGTACAAATAAAGATTGTTATTGTTGTTGTTGTTGTTGTTGTTGTTGTAAAATATGATACCGAGAACCATAGAGAATTTGTTTGATAAACAGGATCTTCTTGAATTGGTGATCATTTCCTTTATTCTCGCGACCATCACATTTGATGCAAGGGTGATAGTGAGAGAGAAATTAAAAACCAACCACTCTTAGGGGTAAAAGGGTTAAGCGCAATAACAAAGGAGCCGTTAGAATGTTAACATTTCAGTTGTCAAAGAGATTTAGCCCCACGGTTGCGTGAAACGTGAACGGGAAGAGTGACCACGTGACCTGGTTTTCCCCGCCATTTTTCATGGTTGCCGGTTGCACTTTGCCATTTCTACGTGAAAGTAACCTGTTTCGCGTTTCTCGTGTACGTAAGATTTTCTTCACTTTTTCTCTCACAGAGTAGAAGTAAATTGCCGGGAAAAGGGCACCAAAACTATTCCTTGTAAGTAATACAAGGCGCCTTTAAATCCACCAAGACGTGAGCTCACGCAAAGGTAAAGCAGCATGGTTCACGCAATTTTTCGTGAAACGTGCAAGGGAAAGCTGACGTTTGCCGTTTCTCGTAAACGCGATGCTAAATCTCTCTACTGCCTATACAACTTAAGAGTGAAGTACTGGTAAAAGTTTCCAGTAGAATGTGAATCAATGAAGAACGTCATCATAAACACGTGACATGGAGATTTAGCACCGTGTTTACCACATGACCTTGTTTTTCCCGCCACTTTTTCACGTTTTCCGGTAGCGCTTTGCCGTTTCTAAGTGCAAGTGACCTGTTTCCCGTTTGCCGTGTACAGAAGATTTTCTTCACTTTTTTTCTCAGAGTAGAAGTTATAGCCGGAAAAAGGGCACCAAAACTATTTCTTAAGTCATAAAAGAGCGCCTTCAAATCCACCATGACGTGAGCTAACGTGAAGCTAAAGCAGCAAAGTTCCCGCTATTTTACGTGAACCGTGAAAGGGCAAGCTGACGTTTGCCGTTTCACGCAAACGCGGTGCTAAGTCTCTCTAATAGTGTCTTTGGCCATCAACGCACTGTAACCATCCAATCAGATTCTAGAATTTCTCAAAGTGCACACACCAAATGTTAAAATCAAAACTATTATCACACTGACCTTGCAATCCTCCCTCAAAGCATTTCCCTTCTCCTGTTGTTCCATACTCCCCACACCAGCCACAGTAATAACTACTCAAGCAACTGGAGCATTGACTGTTGTCGATGCAGTTTCCCATACAGTTCGCTGACGAGCCCCGCAATACTCGTCCGCAGCGACCTGCTAAACAGATGAGCGGCAGGGCGGACGGAGAGAAACACTTCCCTAAAGTTTCACTCCAGACACATTCCTTCCAAGCGCCATCGGCACCTGAGAGGACATGAAAATCGTTAAGTTGTATTGCTTTCAGCGTTCTGAACCTTGACACTTTTTTTCCATCTGCCTATTATGAATACCCCATTCTAACATGGCGATTGAATTAAAAAAAAATGTATTTTCTGGTAATCACTTATTAAAAATCACTAAGTCATCATGTTCACGAGCATAATAATGTTTTGGGCCCGACTCAGAGTCATTTTAACCGTCACCTACTGGCTCTGGCTGAAATGACTCTGAGTCGCTCGGCCGTTTTATCACAAACCGAATTCCACTCATACCGCTACTATTAACCTCCGGAAACTTCTCCAGGATGGTCCAGTGACACATTGAAAAGCTCTCGTTTAGATTGGAGATCATAAAAGCAAATATGCAACTTGAGACACTCTTTTCTTTACATTTAACAGTTCATGACGCATTTTAACGTACTAAACGATAATTTATCTTACTCTTTGGCATAATTATACCATGCTTGTGTAATTATCATTTTACTATAACAATAAAATGGTATAATTACTTTATGGTTATATCATTAGTGTCATCACGCGCATAGTTATTATTAACCACTGTCACTAAACGCTACGGCATAAGCATAATGCTTTCAATTACTAAGGCATAAGCAATGGCAAGATACATGAGGCTTGTCAGCAATACAAGGACAGCGCACAAGAGCTAGCCTGTCAGTTAAAGGAGCGATATGGCAAACGGCGCGATGGTGGCGGAGGAGTGAAAAAAGCGAGGGAAGGTTTGGGTCGAGTCAGGTCGTGTCGGGTGAAGAACGAGTTCATTACGTCACTCGACCCGGCCAAGCCTCTCTTGGTATTTTTACTCCTCCGCTACTTTTGCGCTGTTTACTAACGCGCTTCGTTTTTCAGACAGAACGCCTGAGGCATGGCGTTGTCGAGAGCCATACAACACTGTCACTGAACTAACCTGATGAAAACAGGCAGGCGGTGCAGTTGTTGTGAGCCGTGCACGGCTGGGGACAGGAGCTTGTTTTCACAGCCCTAATACCGATAACTTCGATATCTTCGGGCCGCAGATTTCCCCAGCAATTCCAACTGAATGTATAGGGATTGTTTGAAAAAGTCAATCGAACCTCAGATTGCCATTTTAACTGCGGTGTCCATACGCACTGGTTTTGCAAGTCAATGCAAGCCGAGCACGAAGTCGCTTCACAATTGTTCGGAACGCAGACATCCGAGTTTAATAGCGCATGTTGCGAGTGTCCGGCGCACGGGTGCGCATCATTACAGTCTTCAGACGATTCAATGCATTTCCCACCCTTATTACAACCAACACACCACTTACAGCTTGGATTTAAATTTGTGTAGATTGAAGATGCCAGACACTTGCTGCATGAGAAGAATGAGCTGCACACGCGATCTGTAGGGTCAGAACAGTCTGTACCATTGTAAAGTGTGACCTACAATTAAAAAGAGAAGCAAAAAAACAAAGTTAGGTCAGCTCAGCCTAGATGCTAATCCCGTCCAGCCGGATTTTATCCCAGTTTCTGTGGCAAGAAGCGACCACGAGTATTACCGTTCCTCTTGAAAGGGATGCCAGAGAGAGACTGGGTTGAAGAGAGAGAGAGAGAGAGAAAGAGAAAGAGAGAGAGAGAGAAAGAGAGAGAGAGAGAGAAAGAGAGAGAGAGGCATTGTGTGAGTCAAGTTTCCTGTCTTAGACCACAACACTATGACCCAGACCTCATGATCCAGAGATTGTTAGTCTCAAGTCTCTTAGTGGTGAATCAGTTTTCTCTGTCAGACCCCATTAAGAGATGGTCAGCGAAAGAGTCGAACCAGTCAGTTGAGACCAGTAGTTCAATCGTCGGTCAAGAGATCGGTCTAGCCGGTCAGATAATAATGACAGCGGTCCGTTAGCCGGTTAGTCAGATCAGTCCGTCGCGTCTTACGTAGTTCCTCGATTTATCAGCCAAACCGTTGGTCCGTTGTAAATTTTTGTAAGCAAACTGCCATTGGCAAATTTTCGTACAAAAAAATTCATTGTAACTTTGAAAGCTCGAAGAAATCCGCCAAACTCGAGTCGAGTTTCTGCAACCGCGATTCAGAAGAAACCAGGAACTATACCTGCGTGACATTTGCTTCAGCGTGACAGATAGCTGGTAGAGGTGACGTTACGGAGTAGCACGCACTGTTATTAGTGAGTAAGGTGTCGTTGCCCCCTTGCGTGACATTCTGCAGTTCACACCAGCTGCAGGTCTTAACTGCAGTACAGTTCTCTTTGGAAGTATACCCTTGGCACAGATCAATAGGAAGAGTGAGTCTAAACAGGTCTGGCTGTGTTTGACCATGGAATCCTCCAAAAAGGTAAAATTTGCCAGCAATTTGAACCATAGCAGCAGACAAAAGCCCGTCAGGTTTACTTCCGACCAAATTCTTCTCTGGAAATTAAAAGAAAACACATTACAAAGAAAAAAAAGATAAGTAACAACTGACCGTTTACAAGGATCCATTTGCTATGGATTTTGGTGAACATAACTAAATCCAATCGTGATTTTGTCGTCCCGCCGTTTTTTTCCGCTTTTTTTGGCTTTGCGTTTTCATTGGTTCCATTTCATATTTTCCTTTCTTGTGATTGGCTGTTGTAATTATCGCGATTTCGGTAATTTTCCGACAGCAGATAGAAAAGCGAACGGCAAAAGCCATAATGAGTTGATGTGATTTAAAGGAGCTTCAAAACAAGACAAATGATGAATAATACCTGAGAGAAGATGCCAATAGTTGCATTTAACATTATATAACCAAAGTTGACGCGAGAAAAACTGATGCGACGTGTTACTCCTTCCTCCGTAGACAAGCATGACATCATCCCTGATGACTGCTGAGTGAAAGTATTTCGGACTCGGCTACAAAAATAGGACAGGAGCAGGAGTAAAGAAAAACACAGCACTTTTATCTTCTTTTCTGTAAAAAAAACTTTCGTTCCGTACGGGTGGGTAAGAAAGGTAACAATTTGTAACCAACAATCACGATAAAATAACAGATGATGAAAAATGTTCCCTTGTAAAAAGTATTTCACCACGACAGAGCTTTCAACAGCTTGTAATATTCTGTAAATAAGACAGAGAAACAAACACACAAAATTTGTAGAAATCGAAATTGCTTGCAAACGAGGCCAAACTTGTTTGGTAGTCTCGAATACCAGCTGCTGGTCGGCAAATGGGCCCGCGCTCCTCCGACGACATCTCGCGAGCATCTACGACCGGACCGGAGAATAGGGCGGAAATCGAGACTACAAGCTCGACATTGACAAGACATTGCCTTTTGACACCGCCCTTTGACATTGCCATTTCACCTGGAAAACGTTTTCAAGGAAACTTTCTCCATAAAAACTTAACGTAATTATGGTTTAAAGAATTCCTCGTCGGAAGAACTCTTTGTCTATCTGATATCTTCGTTCGCATAAAAGACAGAGTAAGTTGGATTTCACAAGACTTACCTCATTGGACGGCAAAGGCTGCAAAATGCTCCATTTCTTTGATGTCAGATCAAAGGAGTAAAGCTCATCTGAAGCGTCCACTGAGTGAACCCTGAATCGATATCCACCAAAAACCAAAATGAATGACTTGCTGGACGTGGTGTAAAGCAGAGCAGAATGGCC